ACGGAGCAGTGTACAGGGCCAAGTGTGACCAGCTCGTCTGCGCCGCCAAAGTCCTGCACCCCATCCTCTTCCAGACCAGGGACCCCGCCGCCTACCGCATCGTGGAGCGCTTCCAGCGAGAGATCGACTTCCTGAGCGGCCTGAGGCACCCCAACGTCATCCAGTACCTGGGCTCGTGTGCGGACCCCGAGACTCGAATGCCCGTCCTGTTCATGGAGCTGATGGACGAGAGCCTGACCAGCTTCCTGGAGCGGCCGGCAGACCCTCCCCCTCTCCCTCTCCACGTGCAGGTGGACATTGGCCACGACGTGGCACAGGCTCTCTCCCACCTCCATCGCCACGAGGTGCTGCACCGCGACCTCAGCAGCAACAACGTCCTCCTGATCGGCAGCCGGCGAGCCAAGGTGACCGACTTTGGCATGGCCAAGCTGCTGGGCAGCGACCCTCGCCTCACTCCCACCTACTGCCCCGGAACCAATAGCTACATGTCTCCCGAGGCACTGGCAGATCCCCCGACATACACCAGCAAACTGGACGTCTTTTCCTGTGGTGTGCTCTTTGTTCAGCTCATCACTCGCAAGTGGCCAAAACCAGGCCCTCGTATGCGTGTCGTGCAAGTAAATGACCCTCGTTTTCCATCAGGACGAGCCCATTTAGAGGTCCCCGAGTTGGAACGTCGTAAGGAGCACCTGGATCTCATCTCCCCCACACACCCTCTCCTGGAGGTAGCCCTGGACTGCCTCAAAGACAAGGAAGGTCAGCGACCGACGGCCGAGCAGCTGTGCTCTCGCCTGATTGCTCTGAAAGAGAGTGCTGCCTACCGAGACAGCCTCCAGCAGACCCCAGAGGAGACGACAGGTCAGGCACCTCCTGCCAGAGACCAGGAACTAGAGCAACAACTGAGGGAGAGTGAGTCGAGAGTTGAAGACCTCACCAGAGAAGTGCAGCAACTGACACTGCAGAATGAAGAGCAAGCTAGAAGCATACAACAGAAAGAGATAGTGAGCACTTCAACAGCAAACAGCAGAAAGATAGAAAATCAGCAAATTCAGACAGATCGAACACTTCAAGTCAGTAGACGAGAGAATGAAGAGGTGGTGGCTGCTCTACAACAGAGTGTGGAGCAGAAAGATGCAGTAATTCGGGCAAAGGATGAGTTGCTGCAGGAGAAGGAGAGAGAGATACGAGAACTGCAGCAGAGAGTGAGGGAGAGGGAGGGAAGTGGTGTGGCCACAGGACCTCTGAAACTGGAGTGGAGGGATGGACCACCAGCTCCGTTTTCAACCTTCGGACATTCAGTAGCAGTCGATGGAGAGATGGTGTACTGTGCTGATGGTGTTAGTTTTACTAAAGTGCTGATGTTCAACTCAAGGACAGGGCAATGGACAGTTCTTCCAGAATGCCACAAAGAGTACTTCTCCATAGCAGTAGTGAGAGGGAAACTGACAGCAATTGGAGGAAAACAATCATACAAAGCCACAAACACTCTTCTCATTCTCCCACAGGACAGACCAGGCATCTTCCAACAGAAGTGGATTGAACAATTTCCACCAATGACATACCGTCGCAATGCCCCAGCAGTCGCTACCACCAACACATCACTGATAGTAGCTGGAGGATGGGGTCCAGATGATAAGAAGGCACCAGTAGAAGTGATAGACATTCTGACACTACAATGGTCCACAGTAGCCAGTCTACCTCTTCCTCTCTGGAATGCCACAGCCACCATATGTGGGGACAGACTCTATATTGGTGGTGGGTTAAGTAGTGGTTGGAATACAACCAAGTCAGTGGTAATGTGTGAGGTGAAAGACCTCTTCCAGTCACAGTCACAGTCACTAGCCATCAGACCAGGTCTCCCCAGTAGTCCTCCAGTGTGGAAAGAGGTTGCTCCACTTCCAGTAGAGCTGTCTTCTCTCGTCACCTTCCAAGGCCAGCTACTGGCAGTAGGAGGAGGGAATCCACGTAGCACCTCTGACGTGATGCAATATGATGCAACCACCAACTCTTGGAGTGTCATTAGCCACATGAAAATGAAGCGACGTTATTGCCTTGCAGCAGTTCTTCCTAACAACACACTGATGGTGTGTGGTGACATAGCAAAAACTACATCTGTTGAAATAGCTTCTGTTTAGTTTATAATGTCTTGCCGAAGTATTAGTTTTTTCTTACAACTGTGTGTTCTTCCCTAAATGAGTTTATGATCCTCGTTATATCACATAATTAATCGGAGTTAACCTGCTAATTAAAGATGATGTCATCGCAATAAAGCAATCTGTCAAAATGTTAACCTTTGGTACGCATGTGCAGTGGTACTTTGTCTGTTACCACATTTTCTGGTACACAACAGAGCACCAAAGAAGTGAAACGAACGGCTCAGTGCACACTGCATGTCTTTGGGCACCATGGGTATCTGCTTAAATAAGCAGAAATTGATGTATAAAGCGCCTAGTACTATAACCCCAATGGAGGCTCTGGACACATGTATGTGTCCATGGCTGGTTAAATGTTAACACTTCATCATTGATTTAGAATTAGTATTAAAGTCTATTTGCGTTCACCTTGCCGGTAGGAAATCTGCCGTGATGTTGCTAAACAGCGACCGATTTCGAAATTTCAAAGCGCAGCGTGGTTGTAGTTGTAGTCGCCCACTTAGCATACTTAGCTGTATGTCACATAAGCAAAGTACGCGACATTCCTTTAGTAGCCTTCTTAACTGGGTATCATGAATGGGATAGTGTCCTCACGGTGTGGTTGCTGATGATGAGTGTATTGACTTGAGTCTGCACCGAGACGGTCGTGTTTGGTATGGGTTAAGAAGAGATAGAGGTAGGTGTGTGTGACTCACGGTGTGGTTGCTGATGATGAGTGTATTGACTTGAGTCTGCACTGAGACGGTCGTGTTTCTCTGCTCTTCCTCTGTATATCCCGTGTCAACATTAGTGGGTCTGAGGGGGAAATAGAGGGCTCTCTATAATTATGAGGAGAACCCTGCATATTACTATGAGGTGGATCCATACAATTTAAGAGGCCCCTCAAATTATGAGATGCCCTTCTAAAAATAATCACTATATTGTGTAAAAATCTTTAAGAACCTTTCAATATACGTACGTAGAAGGAGATCTCAATAAAGATCTACTCAAATTAGAGAACCCCGAAACCACTCTTATTTTTTGCAAAAACCACCTCAAATTATGAGATTTTTTCCGAGCCCTTCAGTTAACCTTATCAAACATTTTGGGAATTTGTTAGAATTCATGACTGACTCAATAATCCAGATGGGCCAGTCGACTAGGAATGTGTTGTTGAAAAATGGAGGTTTTCGGCTGAACCAGGAGCAGGTGTTGAGTCGAGAGACGTAGATTGCTGAGCCGAGAGTGGCCGAGTTGTCAGTGAATCTGACTGTCACCTGTGAGTGGGAGAGAGAGAGAGAGAGGGGGGAGGGGGAGAGAGTGAAAATGGAGAATAAAGAGAGAACATCCCTCAAAAACTGACGATTAAATTGGTATGACATATAGTACACTAAAGGTGTCTGATGACGGTAAAAATTTGCAAAACCTAGAGAATTGGTCCAGATCTGAGGGACGGTGTCAAAAGGGGAAAAGAGAAAGGAGATTGAGAGAAATGGCATACCAGTTCTGAGGGAAAGTCCCAAAGAGGGAAAGGAGAGAGAGAGAGAGAGAGAGAGAGACAGGGGAGACGTACGTTGGTCCAGTTCTGTGGGACAGTGCCGAAGTCTTCGTGAAGAAAGGGACACTGAGGGTTCCCGGCCAGCTGGGTGTAAACTGTGGAGGTCGTGGTGGCCTCTATCGTGATACTGGTACCAAACCTGTGGTAACATGTACAGTGGTCTCGTAATACAACATACAGTGGTCTCGTAATACAACATACAGTGGTCTCGTAATACAACATACAGTGGTCTCGTAATACAACATACAGTGGTCTCGTAATACAACATACAGTGGTCTCGTAATACAACATACAGTGGTCTCGTAATACAACATACAGTGGTCTCGTAATACAACATACAGTGGTCTCGTAATACAACATACAGTGGTCTCGTAATACAACATACAGTGGTCTCGTAATACAACATACAGTGGTCTCGTAATACAACATACAGTGGTCTCGTAATACAACATACAGTGGTCTCGTAATACAACATACAGTGGTCTCGTAATACAACATACAGTGGTCTCGTAATACAACATACAGTGGTCTCGTAATACAACGTACAGTGGTCTCGTAATACAACGTACAGTGGTCTCGTAATACAACGTACAGTGGTCTCGTAATACAACATACAGTGGTCTCGTAATACAACATACAGTGGTCTCGTAATACAACATACAGTGGTCTCGTAATACAACGTACAGTGGTCTCGTAATACAACATACAGTGGTCTCGTAATACAACATACAGTGGTCTCGTAATACAACATACAGTAGTGGTTGAGATCTAATACGATATAAAACAGTTCTCAAGTTACCGCATCCAGCTCTGCATAAAAATTCTGAATGCAGTAAAATCGGCTAAACCTAGTTTTCGTGCATTCTATTAAGGGAAGCGTGGCAGTATAATTATATAAGTGCTAAATTTAGACTTTCTTTCTAAAATTAGCCCGTACGTATGTACCGACAAGGTGAGAGTTCAGTATGATACAGTGTTAGAGATTGCAAACCTTCCAGAGTTTCCCTCAAAGTTGACAAAGAGACCTCGACTGAGGATGGCTTGTGCGAACGACAGCATGTGGAGGGCACTCTCATCTCCACTGGTGGCGATGTTGTTGGTGAAATGGAGCTCACCTGACAGGTAGATTATGGCTCCCACCACCTGAGGATTATGAAAATGAAACCTTTAGTGGAACAACAAAGTAGTGCTTTTGTAAGTGTAGGATTTGAAAATTGAACGTTCTTTGAATGAAGTGGAAAAGTAAAGTGCGTATGCACACTGAATCACGAAAAAGGACGCTCTGAATAAAAGACAACTCTCTATAAAGGACACTTGGTTCTGCACCATACTAATACATTAGTGTATATTATTGCCTCAGGATAATGGACACCTCTGAATAAAATGGTCCAAAAGATGTCCCTTATTCAGAGGTTTCATTGATTTATGCTTTAGGTTGCAGGTAGTGTCCTTCTCCCTAGGTTTCCTCAAAACCATAACAAAAGTAGCATACAACTAGCTCCCTACCCTCACCCTGAGTGAAGTTCCTTTGTTTCCTGAGAACACATTTCTTCCGGTGAAGTTCGTGGGAGAGTAGCCGACACTGACTACTCCATTGGCTCCAGAATTATTGTGGAACTCACTGAGAGGAGGGAGGGAGGGAGGGAGGAGAGAGTTAAAGGTTTATTGACAGAGTTTGGATTTCACACATTAAAAAATCGATAGTATTCATTAGGACTGTCCATGCTTTGTGCATATGCCACTACCACAGTATAAATATTATATGCCAGTCAGTATTATTAGTCCGTAGTACAGTAATCATATGGTCATATGTTACCAATGAATAATATTATATGGTGGCACAAATGGACTTTACATACTACATACAGTGAGGTGGGAGGTGCCCTAAGGTATACACACACATACACAGACAGTATCCAACAGGTCCCTCAGAGCAAGTTGGCTTTGTTCTCTACTACACAGACTGACATGATGATATGCCTGCCTTGCTCCATATGGTACTATGTAAAAGGCATCAGCTACTGTTCTTACATAATTATGTACGAAGTGTAGAGTTTATGAGGGCATACTAGCACGACCATATTAGGTAATTGATTGTCATTGGACTGTTGTAGGGGACAAGTATGCTGACCTAATGTTAAGAAGTACTGTTTAAAGGTAAACTATAGAATGGCTTTACTAGGGTCATAGGAGGCAAGATAGTATATGAGACAAAATGGTCAGGAGAAAACCATGCAGATGTGCTATATATGTAGCTAACAGAGTCAGTATTAAAGAGATGTGGTACTTCCTAGTAAGGTCACACACACAGCATGGAGTATTTTCACTTTAGTTAGAAAACTGGTATCTGTGTTGGTGGTGTGTATGTACGAAAAACCAAAAACATAGCAATTCAGCCTCAATGAGAATTTTGACTTGGGATTTCTCATGTGATAGTCATATGACCTGTCACCTGACTCACTAATGGGTGGAGTGTCATGTGACCTGACTCACCAGTCGGTGATCTCGTGGCGAGGGAAATTTGACCTCTCCACCAGAGGGTTCAGGAGAGACAACGCCACCGCAGCTCCGTAGTCGCCGGGGCCTCCCGTGTAACCACGGTTACCGGTAAATAGGGTCGAACGTATCTGAACCAGATTTCCTACACCACCTGCCATGGAATAGAATTTCAAGTGAAACAAAATGCTGCATTGTGCTCTTAGCTCCTCGAAAAGCCTAAACATACTACAGTTAAGGACTCTCTAAATGAGGACACCTCTCCAAATAAGGGACACCTTTTCTCTACAAACAGTTTCCTGCACGCAAAACAACCCCTGAAATAAGGACACCTCATTAATAAGGATCGACACTTTCTTTTGTCCCATTGGTGTCTGGATTAGAGGAGTTCCACTGTAAACCAAAAACAGGCCCACCCAAAGAGTTGCGAAACAAACACTTACCATCAGTGGAGGTGAAGACGAATATGCCTCCTCCTGCAATACCAGAGTTGTTCTCAAACCGACAGTCATCAAATCTCATCATTAGAGGGGCATCCTCGGGCCCATTGTTGAAGAACGACGCCTGAAATCCTCCCCCACCGAGTTGCGCAACATTTGATATCACTCTCGCTCTCTCGACGACAACCCTATGACTGGTCCCGAACCCACCTAGCAACAGATAGACCGCGCCCCCAAACGAACGAGCTGTGTTCTCCGTGAAGGTGCAGTTCCTGATTGTGACGTCGAGATCGTAGCGTGATTCGTTTACAAAGAGTGCCAGTGAACCGCCACGCCCAGTGAAAATCTGAGCAAAGAACGCCTGACTGGAGGTTCTGAATGCGGAAGTCGCACGGGCGCTGTTATTGCGAAACACGCAATCGGTTACCAGTAGCGACGGCGAGCCGAAGTTTACGGGGAGAGTGTTGTAGCCGAACGAGACTCCGCCCGTGTTGCCACGGTAACTGGCGTTGACGATGCCGGTACCGGAGTTATCCTGAAGCAGTGAGTGGTTGAAGAGGACATGGTGACAGTTGAAGATGTCCAGTGCTGCTTCCGTGAACATCCTGGACCGAGAGAGAGAGAGAGAGAGAGAGACAGAGAGACAGAGAGACAGAGAGACAGAGAGAGAGATTATTTGTGAAAGTGAAAGGTTTTGTGAATTAATTTCGCTTTTCGCTGAGAAATCTCACCATCCAGACAAGGACACCTCTCTAATAATGACACACTATCTTTTACCCTAGAAAAGTCACATGCAATTCGATCCCTGAAATGAGGACACCTTACTAATGTGGACGCGTTCTTCTGTCCCCATTGGTATCCGGACGAGATGGGTTCTATTGTAATCACATACATACCTGAACGAGCAGTCTTGAATAGTCACCTCAGCCACGGTATCCAGCCTCAGAGGTCTTGCGCAATCCTCGAACCCGATTCCAGTCAGCGTCACAGACTGAAGACCGGCAAAATACCAGGTGTAATTGTTGGACCCCACGGAGTAGTTGCATAGCAACCGCACCTCACCCCCTCCCGCCCCTGTCATTTCTATCTCGTTGATTTCCCCTCGGAAGAGAGTCGGTGCTGTGAGTAAGTGGTTGCCGGGAGGTATTTGAATCTTGGTGTAGGCTGCAGTGTTTCCGAGAGACGAGGCGATGTCGACAGCTTGTTGAAGTGACGTCATTGAATTGACTGTCAATGTAAGATGGTCGCTTGCTGTTGGACAGAGCAGAAACAACAAGAAGTGGTCAGTGGACACAATAACAGCTAAAATTTATAAACTGCTACTGAAATAACGGAAACTTCACAGAAACTTCACAGAAACTGCATTCTTGCACTGGACTCTATTGCAAATATAATATAGCCCTTATGTATAATTGTACTGACACAATGTAAAGGGCAGCACTTGTCTAGCAAACGAATTGTACCTATGTATGTTTTCTGCATGTCTACAGTCAAACCTTGTCATTTTCACGCAGGCCGATGTATCGTGCGTAAGTTTTCAACATAGCGCTGTTGCTACACTCTCTGGATTACCCTACTATTTTCATTTCATCTGAAAATGGCGTACAAATTGGAGGCCCTGCATGTCCCACTTATTTAACAGTTTGCAGTGTAATTTGGGATTCATTATGTAAATCTAACGAAGGCTTACATCGCTAAATCATAAACAGCCATTTTATCATGCACAGTGAGAACTCCAGACCATACCTTCTCTCTTTAGTGGATGGTTGCCATCAGAAGATGAGACATTGAGGCAGAGGAAAGGGAGAGTTACCAACACACAGAGTAGTTGTGGCTGCAAACGAAGCTGCATGGCTTTCCCGGCTTCTCCCTACTTTCTCCGTGCAAGTAGGAGACCTTCTATTTCACTCTCGGCCGCTTTTTAGGTATATATACACTGAACTGCGGAAAGAAAATCTATAGCTAGCCATGTGTGAGGCGGTTTTCAATGTCTGCGGGGGTTGCTTAGCTATCTATCATTACCTACGCGTAGCTACATATGTCAACAACTGTGCTATGAAACTACACGGCATGTTTGAACGGGGCCCACGTATAGCTACCAGCATAGCTGTCCTCCTCGCTATATAAATGTTATTGTTGTTGCACGCACAGTGTTTAGCTAGCGGAAACTTACAGCTCCGATCTCGTGTCGAAAAGGCAAGAGAAGTCCGTCTTCTAGAGTTTTACTCTGCCTCCACCATCGCTCCCTCTAGCTGTATAGCTTGTTCGCTGCATGCCCCATATGCCCAACCTCCTTTTCTCTCCGGATTAACGACGTTTATTGCGCATGCGCGTATGTAATTTTAGCCCCTCCCCCTGATCCTCAACGGTCATCTCTCGATCGCTCGCTTCTCTGATTGTCGGTAAAGAAAGGGCAGAAAGGCCGTAGCACTGACGGGATGGCTGGTGTTCGAAGTATTCTCCTCTTCTCCTCTCTCCCTCTACTGCTGGGCCAGCTCCTCTGTGGCCGCGGGGCGCGGGCAGTGGTAATACCGGTCGACGCAGCTGCGGGGAATGACTCTCTGTGTGTTGCCGCACAGGATCTGAACGACTCCACCACTGAATACCCTGCAGGTCTCCAGTGGAAATATCTACAGCAAACTACGTGTGTGTGTGTAGCTATGGGATTTTCCTACGGGAGCTATATAGCGGTTGTAGGTTTGCTGCCTGTGGCTTGCTATTTTCTGTTTCACTTTGATCTGCGGTACGTACGTTGCGCTGGTAAATTTGTCTGTCTGTTTGTTACTACACCGAGTCAACTTCCAGTAACTGTCGGTACGACTTGCACGCATCTTGTCGCAAACTGCAAAATGTGACTGTCTTGTCTCCAGCAATGCTGTTGCTGCGATTACACGACTTGTCTTATATTTCTGGTAACTTGTGTGTTGCTGTTTTGCGAGTATGTATCTGCGAGTGTAAAATAGTGGCATCATTTACCCTGATATAAGGACACCAACTAAACCTTTTCTTTCCTCGAGAACAGTTTCTTATGCGTGTTTAAAAAAGGACACCTCACTAATATGGACACTTTCTTCCGTCCCATTGGTGTCTGGATTAGAGGGGTTCCACTGTATAATGCTCAGAGTTAGCCTGTGTATATATGATTTTGACCTTTGCCCTCCCCACCCAGATATCTCTCCGTGTCAGTCGCTCCAAGCAGCACTCGGTAACCAACCGTGCAGCCGAGGCTGTTACCTTGACAACACTAAAAGGCTCCCTCCGAACCTTGACCTCCAGTTGTCTCCCGGTGTCTATCGCCTCACCGCCTGTCTCGGTATCTTGCAGGCCAGCAACCTCACGATTCGTTCCCGTGGCGACGCTCCTGGCGACGTCATCATAGAATGTGCGACGGTCCCCAACAACGATTACTATGACAACCTGTACGTGTGCGGGTCGGAGAGGGTGCGGTTTCAAGGGTTGGTATTCAGGAAGTGTGGGCCGTTCTCTCCCAACGTCTTCCTCAACCATTCATCTGGATTGGTGTTTGACAACTGTACCTTCAGGTGAATTTTGCTTAGGTTAGCAGTTATTGTGTGTGAAGCCTCCAAAAATGGACCCTCTGAGTAAAGGCTACTTCGATCCATAAAGGACACTTGGTTCTGCCCCATACTAATACATAGGGACACCTCTCTATAAAGGACACTTGGTTCTGCCCCATACTAATACATAGGGACACCTCTCTATAAAGGACACTTGGTTCTGCCCCATACTAATACATAGGGACACCTCTCTATAAAGGACACTTGGTTCTGCCCCATACTAATACATAGGGACACCTCTCTATAAAGGACACTTGGTTCTGCACCATACTAATACATAGGGACACCTCTCTATAAAGGACACTTGGTTCTGCACCATACTAATACATAGGGACACCTCTCTATAAAGGACACTTGGTTCTGCCCCATACTAATACATAGGGACACCTCTCTATAAAGGACACTTGGTTCTGCCCCATACTAATACATAGGGACACCTCTCTATAAAGGACACTTGGTTCTGCCCCATACTAATACATTATAGTGCTGCACACTAAATACTTTGCAGTGTTTCAGCACAAGCAAAATTAAATGGTAGTCTTTTGAATATAAAATTCTCATGTCTACAACAGAGACAACATAGGTTCCAGTCTCCAGGGACAGTTCTGCAACGACGTCACACTCACAAACACTCACTTCATTAACAACGACAACCAGCAGGTCGCCGAGCCAGACGTAAACGAAACCTCAATCGAAGAGCTCTATGACAGCATCACAACTGGCGGTGGTTTCACTTTCTTCACTCGAGGCCAACCAGCCACCATCCGAATCGAAAAATGCTCCTTCGTCGAGAATTCAGCAAATCGAAACGACCCAAACAATACTCGACCTGTCCTACTGAAGGCCAACGGACATGGGGGAGCTGTCCTGATTCGACTAGCCAACGCCGATGGATCGGAAATTACCATCGCTGACTCGGAGTTTGTCAATAACAAAGCGCAGGTGGATGGTGGAGCTGTTTACATGACACTATCTGAGAGCGTTTCGGGAAGTTCCATCTTCATCGAGAGAAGCAATTTCACAGGTGAGGCGAGGGATTTCCCCCGATTAGGACACTGTTAAAGGTGTCCTGAAAGTTTGGATGTGACTGAGAGTCGTTAGGGAGGGAGGGAGGGAGTGTCCTGATAAATTTGGTGTCATCATGCATGACTGTACATATTTCCTATAAACCAAGTTTTTCTGAAGTTATCAGGTGTCCTGATCATGACCGTGTCCTAAAAAGCAAGCTGTCCTGAAATTATCAGGACAACTCTCTTTCACACAGGGAACACCGTTGAGGAGGCGTCTGGTGGTGCCGTTAGCATCAACTCCTTCCAGATTTCATTCAATAACACAATAATCGTCAGAAACTGCAGTTTCCTGGGAAACTCTGGAAATGCCGGTGGAGCGTTCAGCATAGCTCTCTACGACAGCGACATCAACAGCTCTCGGAGCCCAGACGGAGTCAATTTCACCGAGTGCGATTTCGTCAACAACATGGCAAAGAACGAAGGGACAGCCGTCGGGCTGTTTTCCCTGGTTCATGTTGATCAGGTCGGCTTCCCCGTCGGATTTGAGAACTGGTGAGAAATGTTTTTTGCATTTTTCTGGTGTTTTTCATCTGCTTAAGAAGTAGTCCTTCTTCTTTCTCTTTCACTCCAATTTCTCAGTTTCATGGTAACTGTCTGTCTTGTGTGCGTGTGTGTGTCTGTGTGCGCATCCGTCTAACACGTACGTATCTTTCCGTGAGTCTTTCAACAATTATGTACTGGCTTGTAATTTTCGTGGGGCGGGGCTACGGATGTTGTTACGTTGTTCTCTTCCTTCCCCTTTTGCCCGTTGACACAGTCTCTTCATGAACAATACGTCAGAGGGAGTCACCCAAGACACCAGTGCCATCGCCGCATTCCGATTCCCAATCACATTCCAGGGGACCAACCGTTTCCTTGGCAACCTGGGGGGCGGGGTCACGCTGCTCAACACGCAGATGAGGGCCTCGGGAGTTTTAGAGTTCGACAGTAACACGGCAGTGTTTGGTGGGGGTATCGCCATGGACGACCGTTGCCTGGTAACGTCTTCTGGATGATTTACGTATCTCCATTTTTGTTCATCTCTTCCCCTCTCCTCCTCCTCCCACAGCTAGAACTATCTCCAGGGACTAACATATCGTTCACCAACAATGTAGCAAGGGAGTCTGGAGGAGGGATTTACGTCGAATTTCCACCAATCAGATTCGTTGTAGACATTTTCAATCGCCTGTGCTTTCTCCAGTATCGAGATCCGTCGGGACGAGATATCCCTCCACAGGACTGGGAGGTAGGGGTTAAACGGAACCTTCAAAACTAGGAGCAATGGGGTTAATGGGACCTGAGGTAAGGGGTTAAACGGAACCTTCAAGACTAGGAGCAAAGGGGTTAAATGGACCTTCAAGACTGTAGGTGCAAAGGGGATTTATTAATGGGAATGGGAGTTAAGGGGTTAAACAGGGCCCTCAAGACTGGCAGAAATGGGTTAGCAGGGTTGTTAGATACGGGGTTAAAACCACAGGTAAAGGGTTAATTAATTAGGCTTGATGCATACTACAATTTGTAATTTGCTGTTACCCATAGCACATAAAAATTAGCTTTTCATTCTTGCTCATTTTCTGTCAAATCTTACTTCCAATGATGATGAAACTGTCCTCTCCTGTAGGACGTGGCGATCTCGTTCATCAACAACACAGCCAGACTCAGTGGAGCCGCCATCTACGCCTCAGACATGCAGCAATGCAGCTGGCTGGGCAACTTCACCACCGACACTTCCCTCATCTTCACTCTTCCTACTGAACTGGCCGACCGCTCACCCTTTCTGTACAAGTAGGTCCTTTGACAGACACTTCCTCTTTCTCTTGTGGGGGTTGGGGGCAGAGAAGGAGAGAGAAGAGAGAAAGAGAGTAAGGAAAGAGAGAAGGAGAGTAAGGAAAGAGAGAAAGAGAGAGAGAAAGGGAGTTCTCTCCATCTTCTCCGCCTCCTACCTTCCTCCCTCTCTCTACCTCTTTCCTTACTCCCTTTCTCTCTTCTCTCTCTCTTTCTCTCTTTCCTTACTCTCCTTCTCTCTTTCCTTACTCTCCTTCTCTCTTTCCTTACTCCCTTTCTCTCTCTCCTTCTCTCTTTCCTTACTCTCTTTCTCTCTTCTCTCTCCTTCTCTGCCCCCAACCCTCACATTTTCAGTGAAATCTCCTGAATACCGAACACTTTGGGGATATCAAAACTGTGCCTTTGCCGAGGTGTCCCTTATTTAGAGTATTAGAACCAGGTGTCCTTTATAGAGAGGTGTCCCTTATTCAGAGGTTGTATAACTTGAACCAAGTGTCCATTTTCCCGAGGGTCCGTTTTCAGAGGTTTACTATGATACGCATTCTCTCTCTCTCTCGTCAACAGGAACAATAGTCTATTTTCTGCGAGTAATCTGGTAAACAACACTAACCTAGCAACTGCTCCCTCCACTATTGAAATCGATGTTGATGTAAGTTTCATCCTCATATTGTATTTAGCAGGAATGTGGCACAATCAATTAGTGAGCTCACGGTGTGATCTGAATATTGCTTTCAATAATGTTGATAGGTACATGTACTAGTGTGCGTAGTACGTACCTGTCTTTCTCCTTTCCCCCTCCCAGCTATCTGTAAACAATTTTTCTCAATTTGTTGCTCTCTTGCTCACTTACATACAAACGCATTCACATATGTACTAGTATGTACATACATGTACATCTCCCTCCCCCTTCCCTCTCTCTTGCAGTACACGACGTGCAACCAGAGATCGCTGGCCATTGGTCTACTAGCCAGAGATCAAGTTTAACAACGCTCGCGAGGCGTGTGGTCGCTGGAGGCTCCAAATCAGGACGTGGTGAGTGAGGGGTTGGTAATGAGATAAGTGAATAATATACATATGTACAGTGAGATAGTGTTGCTATTTCACCCTCCAACTATAGTCAAGTGTTGGGGCATGGTTGGTTGTCGTTTCGTTTACACTCGTGTGCGTACAACAATACAAAACTGTTCAAACCCTTGTCGGAAGGAAGGAATTGCTA